TTCTTAGTTACTAACTGCTGGATCTCCCTTTGGCATTTTAGGTTTTTTGAGTTTGCTGATTTTTAATAGGCGATAGAAACCAAGCAGAATAGGCGCAAAAACCAGCTGGTTTAGGATTTACAGTATATGCCTGATTGCTGTGCTTTGCTAAATAAAGAGAACGATGACATATAGCATCTATGTTGATGGTTGCTGGATATTTTGATACGATTCTACACTGCTCAAAAAAAATTAAAGGAACACTTTTTAATCAGAGTATAGCATCAAGTGAATTAAACTCCTGGGATATTGATCTGGTCAGTTAAGTAGCAGAGGGGGTTGTTAATCAGTTTCAGCTGCTTTGGTGTTAATTAAATTAGCAACAGGTGCACAAGATGGGCAACAATGAGATGACCCCCAAAACAGGAATAGTTTTACAGGTGGAGGCCACTGACTTTTTATTCCCTACTCATCTTTTGTGACTGTTTTTCACTAGTTTTGCATTTGGCTAGGGTCAGTGTAACTACTGGTAGCATGAGGCAATACCTGGACCCTACAGAGGTTGCACAAGTAGTCCAACTCCTCCAGGATGGCACATCAATACATGCCATTGCCAGAAGGTTTGCTGTGTCTCCCAGAACTGTCTCAAGAGCATGGAGGAGATTACAGGAGTCAGGCAGTTACTCTAGGAGAGCTGTACAGGGCTGTAGAAAGTCCTTAACCCATCAGCAGGACCAGTATCTGCTCCTTTGTGCAAGGAGAAGCAGGATGAGCACTGCCACAGCTCTACAAAATGACCTCCAGCAGGTCACTGGTGTGAATGTCTCTGACCAATCAGAAACAGACTTCATGAGGTTGACCTAAGGGCCCAACATCCTTAGTGGGCCCTGTGCTCACTGCACGGCACCATAGAACTCAATTGGCATTTGCCATTGCACACCAGAATTGGCAGGTCCACCACTGGCGCCCTGTGTTTTTCACAGATAAGAGCAAGTTCACCCTGAGCACATGTGACAGACGTGAAAGGGTCTGGAGAAGCCATGGAGAACATTAAGCTGCTTGTAACATCATTCAGCATGACCGTTTTGGTTGTGGGTCAGTGATGGTCTGGGGAGGCATATCGATGGAGGGACACACAGACCTCTACAGGCTAGACAATGGCATCCTGACTGCCATTGGGTATCAGAATGAAATCCTTGGACCCATTGTCAGACCCTACGTGGTGCAGTGGGTTCTGGGCTCCTCCTGGTGCACAACAATTCCCGGTCTCATGTGGCGAGAGTATGCAGAAAGTTCCTGGAGGATGAAGGAATTGATACCATTGAATCGCCCCCACTCTCGCCTGACCTAAATCCAATGGAACACCTCTGGAATATCATGTTTTGGTCCATCCGAGGACACCAGACTGTCTTGCACCTCAGACTGCCCAGGAGCTCAGTGATGCCCTGGTCCAGATCTGGGAGGAAATACCCCAGGACACCATCCATTGCCTCATTAGGAGCATGTCCCGATGTTTTCAATGGCATGCACATTGGGGCCATACAAACTACTGAGTAGTGTTTTGAGTTGCAGTGAAATTTCAGCAAAATGGACTAACCTACTGCATAATTTTTTCACTTTGATTTTCGGGGTGTCTTTGAGTTCAGTCCCCTGTAGATTGATAATTTTCATTTCCATCAAATGATGGGGCATCCTTACGTTCCTAACACATTACCCAGTCCATATCAATATAGATATCCAGCATGATATTTTTCCTCATTGAGATCTGATGTGTTCCTTTAATTTTTTTTAACAGTGTATAATTATTAATCAAGATAATTTTGTACTATTATAAGTTTCTCAGCATTTTTTATATTCCATGTGAGTCCTATAGAATCATCCTCTCTATTGGACTAGAGCCTTTCTCTGGTCACTAGCAAAAATTGGTTACTATTTCACACAACAGAGAAGATTTGTGAAGGTTTTCCAGGGCTGACCCATGGTTTTTTTTTGTTTGCCAAGTGTCCAGTCCTCCTATAGGTATCATTATTACACAAAGATGAAAGACTCCCTGTGTCCCTCAACCTATCATCCACCACTCTCTTGGCTTCCATATATTGGTTCCTTTGTAGATGATAGCGATACACTTAGGAAGCCTAAATATTGATACTGTTCATTTTAGCATGGTCTGATATGCACCTTTTTCTGGGCTGAGTTATCTATCAAGATTTGCTGCAACATAGCCATCAGATTCTGTTTAGAGACAAAATATTAATATGTTGGTTGGTATATATAACCTCTGTTTTCACTTCATACATCAGACAGGAAATATCTGTTCCATCACCTTTGTTGTGGTTTATTCTTTAAATTATTACTCCATTCAGCCAAATACACTGTTGAACTACATTTATTACTTGTTCTACCTGCCAAGAAATCGATAGCTCTGCTTAATCAGTCCTGTGATCCAGGTGCCCATGGCAGAAAGCACAGCCAGCTACTATACTCCTTGGGATCTCTGTGAAGAGTACACTATGGTTGAGCAAGTTAATGTGCAAAAATAATCAAACTTGTTTTATAATAACATAATATCTTGGATTAAAAATAGTTTCTATTTTCTTTTTTCTAACATTTTTTTATGTCCACGCTGCCCACTCACACCACCTACTGTAGGAAGGAGTTCCACACTTTTACCACCTTAACAGTAAAGCACCCCTTGTGAAGTTTAAAGTTAGACTGCCTCCTATATTGAGTGGCCAAGTGTCTTCTTAAGAGATCTGAGACTGAATAATATACTCCCTATGTTAGAATGACCTTTTAGATATATGTATATTGCTACCATACCTCCTCTTAAGTAACTCTTCCCCAAGGGGAATAGGTTTAATGTTTGCAGTTGTTCCTCATAACTGAGGTCCTTCAGCCCCCTTATTAGCTTTGTTGCTCTTCTCTGGAATCTCTCCAGACTGAGCATATCCTTTCTGTGGGAACTGGATGGCATACTCAAGATGTGGTCAAACCAATGTTTTGGTAAGTGGTAGAATAGTTTTATCTCTTAAGTAAATAACCTTTTTAATGCATGCCAATAGTCTGCTAAGCTTTACTTGCTGCAGCTTGGCATTGCATGCTCTTGCTAAGCCTGTGATCCACCAGATCCCAGATCCTTTTCCATCCTCAATTCTCCCCACTGAGTAACTTGCATTCAAATACTTTACATTTTTCAATATTAAACCTCATTTGCGATATAGTAGCCCACCCCTTTCATTTATTGAGGTCCTCCTGTAAAGTTGCTATATCCTGTTGTGAAGTTATTACCCTGTTTAGCTTTGTAACATCAGCAAACACTGAGATTAAACACTTAATACCAACATCTCTATCATTTATGAACACGTTGAACAGAATTGGTCCCAGGACGAAGCCTTGGAGTACCCCGCTTACAAATCCAGACTATTCAGAAGATATGCCATTTATCACCACCCTCTGGATGTGCTCCTGTAACCGGTTTTCTATCTAAGTTCACACAGTATACTATTGTCAATGCCAACTAACCTCAATTTGTATATTAAGTGTTTATGGGGCAGTGTATCAAATGATTTGGCAAAATCCAGATACACCACATCCACAGGCCTTCCTCTATACATATTACAGCTCACTTCCCCATAAAATGTTAACATGATGGTCTGGCAAGAGCAATCCTTCATAAATCCATGCTGGTCACCACTAATTATACACATATTACTCTTGTGTATAGTCAGTTTTTACTTGTAAGTGGATGTGGCAAATTAGAAAAAGAGACACCAATCCCTTTGTAAGTTTATATGTCAATAAAATATTACTGCCTATAAAATTAAAAAGGACATAAAGTGTATGCAATAGTTTTGTCCACGCAGGCATACTTAGCGATACTAAAGGCTTATTTTTTTTTGCACAGAGCAACCCGAATCCTCATCTTCTTAGGCTCCCTGCAGGCTCTCCTGGCCCCTCCCTCCTGTCGGATGCCGCCACAGCAAGCAGCTTGCTATGAGGGCACCTGCTACTTTGTGTGTCCATTCAGAGCCCCCTCTCTCTTCTTATTGGCTCACTTGTTGTGATTGAAAGCAGCGGGAGCCAATGTCTCCAGCTGCTGTTTCAGCCAGTGAGGAGAAGAGGTCCCAGGATAGCCAAGACTCCAGTGCACATTGTTGGATGGAGAGGGGGCTTAGGTGAGTATTAGGGGGGCTGCTGCACAGAGAAGGTTTTTACCTTCATGTACAGAATGCATGAAGGTACAAAAGCTTGAGTCTTTACAACCATTTTAAGTGCCCTTATTGTTCAATATTAGATATTTCCTAAAAATGCAACATAACTCAGTTTCCTATCAGTATCCTGTTGATATTTATTGTGCTATATAGTCATTTTCTGTTTTTTTATTGAAAAACAAAAATGACTTAACTTGTGTTATGAATATATGTTTGACCATCGTGTGGTAAACAAAGTGCACACTTCTCTGATGTGAAACTTAAATTTGTGGTTGTCCTTCTGTCCATCAACAGCCTGTTCTACAGCAGCCTGTTCTAAGACCCCCTCCAGCCTGTGATTAGACAATGAATGAGTAGTGGGACCAGGGGCGGACTGACAACTCATGGGGCCCCCGAGCAATAGGAAATCATGGGGCCCCTGTGTCCGTGACCACACTCAAACCACACCTAAAAAAGCCTATGAAAGGTACCAGGAGCATCTCATAGTGCCCCCTACTGACCCCGGGCCCTCGGGCAGTGCCCGAGTGCCTAAATAGTCAGTCCGCCCCTGAGCAGGACACTGATGAGATCATTCACCAGGAAGATTCTGAGAAAGCTCTGTGTTAGATGGACAGTGCAATAGTCAAAGGTCATTTTTAGCATTAGTCTACATTCAGTGTTTGTTATGCCCATACATTTCAGTGTGTCTGTTTATGTATCTTATCAAAGTACAAGAACATAAGTCTGTGGTACTGCTTTTGGTATGAATTCCTCATGACTTTAGATTAACAAACCTTTCTAACTTTTTCATGTATGCAGGTCTAAGAAGCCATGGCTAATAAAGGCCCTTCATACGGCATGAGCCGTGATGTCATGTCCCGCATAGAAAAAAAGTATGATGACGAATTGGAGGCACGTCTACTGCAGTGGATTAAGCTTCAGGCTGGTGCTGATGCAGGGGAACCACCAGAGCAAGGACGATATGGATTCCAGCAATGGTTGAAGAATGGAGTGGTGAGCATGGAGTCAGAATGGGTTATAATTCATAGTTCTTTTGTTCAGAATCACACATGGGAATTTCTGTACAGGAATGCTAACTGCAGCCATTATACCATTCTATCTTGAAGGCAGGTTTGGAAAAAAAATGCAAAATTCAAGTACCCATCTATTCTCCAAACAATCACCCAGTAGCAGTACAGACATTAGTCTTAGGCTATTGAAGAGTGTTAATCTGATTCATATTACAGTTCCAGTCATCTCCTTGCATTACATTTTAATTAGTTAATTATATAGGAGAAATTCTAACCAAAAAAGTTAAAGCCTGACTCCAGTTTTTTCTTTGGATTTGGATAAAGTTGGGAGGAAATGAAGAACAACTATCATTACACATTTTTCATAATGGTCTGCCCCATGGGACAACATACATGAAGTACTTTGACCCATATAACTAGGTACTTCCTAAGTCTAGTTATGAAGTCTGACCTGACGCCTTTTCTTATCCGTGTGGCAAATCCGACAACAGCTTGGAAGGAGACAGACCTGACGTAACTGCAGCTTGTCTCGATGCAGAGCACTTTCCTGAGACAAGCTGCAGGAGGAGGGAGACAGTGGGCTGACACTTGCCCCTTCTCCTTCTGCAATCCTCTTTTCTCAGGGAAAGTGCTCTGAGGCAAAACTGTCAGCAGTTATGATAGATCAATCTCCTTCCAAGCTGTTATGTGATTTGTGCGTGAGGAGGGGATATGGGCAGGTATAACTTCATAACTAGACTTAGGAAGCACCTAGCTATATTGGAACAAAGTACTACATACTTTGTCCCATGGAGGGATGAACAATGTAAATGCATTTGTAATGATAGTTCTTCTTTAAAAATTTTGTCAGGTTTTTATTCCTGTCCATGACTCCAGGGATTCCCCTTCACTACCTGTCCCGGTGACACCCATACAGAAACTGTGAGTGTGGTTGTCACTGGGACAGAAATGGAAAATATTGTCAGAGGCTCTAACCCTTTCTTATGCTATTCTAAACTTTTTTTTTGTTTTTTCTTGGTATTCCTGTTGCAGATTTCACATCACTTTCTGCATAAATGAACTATTCCAACAGTCACACAAATGTCAATAAAAACATGAATGAGGCTCTAGCCCTTCCTCTTCTATTCAAAGCAACGCAGAAAGTTTAGCTGACGCTGGGCTGTAAAATACTTTTGACAAAGAATCACAATAAATCCAAGTAGTCTAAAGATTATCCTTTGGCCTTTTCATAGGTTCTTTCAAAACTGATAAATAGCCTATACCCAAGGGGCTCACAGCCTGTTAAGATCCCTGAACCCCCTCCCAGCATGGCCTTCAAGCAAATGGAACAAGTGGCGCAGTTCTTAAAGGCAGCCGAGGATTATGGAGTGGTGAAAACCGATATCTTCCAAACCGTAGACCTGTATGAAGGTAAACCCTGCCCTTACTAAGTCACATTCATAACAGACAAGAGATTCTCATTTTTAGATATTGGAAACATATCATATGCTGTTATAATGAGGTATAAAGACTTTTAATAAGAAATACAGTTTTTTTTCTTGTCAATAGATCATTTACACATCATTGGGGATCTTGTTGAAAAGCAGAAAAATCTGAGGTTTTCATCTAATCTAACTACTGTACATGATGGTGATCAACCTACTTACAAAGCATTGAGTTCAGTGTGTTGGAAATGTAGGAGCTTGCCAGCAAGATGCTAAGTAACTCAGTAGCATAGAAATTAACCATACAGTTTAATGCTAATTGTGAGCTGTCTTTCATCAATCCTGAGGATCTTCATTAGCTCCAGGTTGTCTATGAAAAACAGGGGGACAATGTATATATTAGTAGGGCTGCCACCGGTCTGGTATTTTACCATCATGGCCTGTAAAAATTGGCTCACTGTCAATGTTAATATATATAAAACAGATAATAGGGCCACCATTTTTTAGAATTGTCTATTGGCTGTTGGTGATAGAAGAAAAAAATAGCAATAGAATCGCCCCAGTCTATTCACGGCCATGACCTATGCCTCCAAAAGCAGGATTTTCTTTCTTTTTTCACTTACCTGTAATATTCCTTTCTTGGAGTACACTATAGGACACAGGATTGTTAAAATATTAGAAAATTGGGTTCATTTCCACGGCCAGGTGGACACAGGTAAATAGCAAAGTTTGACATTGTTCAGTATATGAGTATCACCTCAGTTTTGTCAGCAAGCAATATCAGAGTTAATGTAGTGGGGAGAGACCTGTGTCCTATGATGTACTCTGAGAAAAGGAATTTTACAGACAAGTAAAATAAAATCCTGTTTTATTAATTGTACATCACAGGACACAGAAGAGTTAATTATTAGATTAGTTCGACATCCAAAAGAAAACCCCATGGGGGGCAGGCAACAGCAAACAATGGCTAAGAGGAAGAGGAATAAACTTTGAAGGCCCCTACAAGGCCACCTTTAGGAATTTCCAGCTGAGGACATCATCTGCCCAAGAATGAACATGTACCTAGTAAAACTTTGTAAATGTATGATCAGAAGGCCAGGTGACCACCTTATGCACCTGATGTTGAAAAGGCCACAAAGCCCCAACACATCTGCTGAAGTGGACCCTCACAGGAAATGGAGAAACCCCACCTTTCAGGTCATACGTTTGAGTGATAATTTGTCAAATCCATCTAGCAATTGTGGATCTAGAAGCAGCCAATCCTTTCCAGGAGACTTCAGGCAGCAGGAACAAACGTTATTGGGAGAAAGTGAAGGTACATTTATTAAATACCTTCTCAAGCTTTGTCTATACAAAGGAAAATGGTGGGATCTTAAGTCCTTAAGGGGGGTAGTATTTGATTTAGCTCCAAATGATCCTCATTGGCTCATAGTTGATATGGTTCAGAAACACTTAGACCAGGGGTTAGCAACCCATAGATTGCAATCTACCAGTAGATCACGGTCTGGGCTTGTTGACCCATCATTCCAGAGCATCAGAGTGCAATGCAGAAGGACTACTTGTAAAGTTGGAGCTGTAGTAGGGAGCAAGAGCCACATAAGTTGATGCCTCCTCTGTAGTGCTGGCTCCTCTCCCATGCTGAGTGATACCAACTGCACTCCACCTCTTATCCCAGCTAGAGGTCTCCAGAGTGAAGCCAACAGCAAGAAAGAAGAGGTCTTCAGGTCAGTGTGAAGCAATACACTGGGCATAATAGTATAGGGCTGCTTTCACCTTGGTGTGCTGTGATTTACCCACAGCGCGGGGGTAGTGCAGTGTACATGCAGCTTTCCTGCGGGTTTGCTATGCTTAGCCATAGACTTCTATTATATCCCAAGGGTTTGGTGCACTTTCTGAAATTTCACCAAAACTCCGGAATGCAGTAGTTTTGGTGCACTTTTTGCACCACACCTGAAAAATATAATAGAAGTCTATGGTAAAGCACAGCTAACCCAGGAAAGTTTCAGATGCGGTGCAGCTAAACCCCAGCACATCAGTGTGAAAGCAGCCTTTTAGGGGACTCAGAACAGTAAGGGTTCATTTACATTTGCAGTTTTTGGGGGTGGTAAAAGCCCATAGTTAAGATCTGTTTTTACCACTCCCTCGCCAACCGCTCCCCTTTTAGCTGCAGTGGCCAGGGGTGTACACATGTCGCAGCCACAGCAGCCATTATATGCTCTATCATGGTTGGTGGGTGTACCTGCATGATTCAAGTCAATGAGGCCGCTCTGCAAGTTCCCTGCACAATTTTACAGTACAGCCAAGAAGGGGTTAAAGCAGGCAGTGTTGTTTTGCTTTCTCACCACCTGCTTTAACCCCTTGGATCCTGCTGAAGCATGCAGTTGTGGGATGCTTGCTGAGTGGTCCTATTTACTTGAATGGGTCGCAATTGGCAGATAGTAACACCTACCCAAAGCAGGGGGCTTAATTAATACTGCGGCATGTGTACACCTTTGGCTGCTGCTTCAGCAGCTAAAGGAGGTAGGGATTGGGGCAGTAAAACCGTGACTCAACCACAGGGTTTTACCACCCTCTACTTTACGTGCGAACAAGCCCTAAGGTGCCACTGCTAAATGCAACCAAGGGCTCATTCACAAATGCAGCAGGCAATGCTGCAGCTCTGAAAAGCAATGTGAGTGTTGGGGTTGGTTTCTAAGCCATTGTTTCTAATTTTCAGAGATTTGTTAATGACTGGCATAGCACCATTGGATCATGTAAGGCCAATGTGGTGCCAATATTTAACCGCCTCCCGCCTGCAATATAAGAAAATGACAGGCGGGTGGCGGTTCTCTCATTCTGGGAGGACGTTATATGACATCCTCCCACTCTAACTGCCCTCGAGGGTGCGTGGCACAGCGATCGGCAGTGTGCTGTGTCCCTGGGACACAGCAGATCACTGATCACTGTAAAGAGCCGATGATGTTGGCTCTGTCATGTGATCAGCTGATCACGTGTAAATAGGAAATGCCAGTTATTGGCAGTCCTCTCCTCCTGCTGACAGCTCTTGAGGACAGGAGAGCCGATAATTGGCATTACTCAGAGTGGACATCTACACTGATGATCAGTGTAGCCCCATCAGTGTCACTTGTCAGTGCCCATCAATGCCACCTGTAAGTGCCCATCAATGCCACATACCAGTGCCCATCAATGCCACATATCAGTGCCTACTAGTGCACATTAATGCCACATATCAGTGTCCATCTGAGCTGCCTTTCAGTGCTGCCTATCAGTGCCAGCCAGTGACACCTATCAGTGCCTGTCACTGCCGTCTATCAATGCCTGTCGGTGCCACCTAATAGTTCCAGTCAGTGCCACCCATCAGTGCCATGAGTGCTGCCTTTCAGTGCCCCTGTCCATCCCATCAGTGCCCATCACTGCAGCCTCATAAGTGCACATCAGTGAAGGAGAAAAATTGCTTATTTACAAAATTCTATAACAGAAACTAAGAAACAATTTAAAAAAAAGAAAAATTCAGTCTTTTTTAGTTTGTTTAGCAAAAAATAACAACCCCAGTGGTGATTAAATACTACCAAAAGAAAGCTCTATCTGTGTCAAAGAAATTAAACAAATTTTGTTTGGGTACAGTGTTGCATGACCGCACAATTTTTATCCTTTTTTTCACACAAATTGAGCTTTCTTTTGGTGGTATTTAATCACCACTGTTTTTTTTATATTTTGCACTATAAACGAAAAAAAAACCTGAAAATGTTTTAAAAATTTGTTTTCGTTGTTTCTTTTATAAAGTTTTGCAAGCAAGTAATTTTTCTCCTTCACTGATGTGCGTTGATGAGGCTGCACTGATAGGCACTTTTGGGGCTGCACTGATTATCAGTGTAGATGAATCCTTTCACAGTTGCCGGTTAACAGCAGCACTTTCCTCGCACTGTGACAGAGTGACAACCGACAAGTGTATTTACATGTGGATCAGCTGTGATTGGACACAGCTTATTACATGGCAAAAGGTCGCTGTGATTGGCCCTTTACCATGTCATGTGATCAGCTGTGTCCAAAGGACACAGCGATCACAGAGAGCGCCAGGTGCATGCCAATGGAGGTGCGTGTTCTGGGAGGAAGTCATATGACGCTCTCCCAGAACTGGACGACCGTGCTGTAGCTGTCATTCAGCTATAGCGCGGGCAAGGAGTAGTTAATAAGAGACCACCCACAAGAGTTTTTGTTAGTAAATAATATTTTAATCAATAGTCAGCATAAATTCACGAAAGACAGAAGTTCTCAAATCCCATTTCTTTTTATGAGGAGGTGAGCAAAACTTTAGACCAAGGTGTGGCAGTGGATGTGGTATACTTGGATTTTGCAAAAGCGTTTGACACAGTTCCCCACACACAGCTAATGTGTAAGGTAAAGTCTTCGGGCTTGGAAAAATCCATATGTAAATGGATAGAAAACTGGCTAAAAGATCATATTCAGAGAGTAGTGGTTAATGATTCATATTCTGAATGGTTTAGTGGTGTACCCCAAGGTTCAGTGTTGGGACCCTTACTTTTTAATATTCCGGTATTTATAAACGATATAGGGTCTGGGATTAAAAATCCCATTTCAGTCTTTGCAGATGGCACCAAGGTGTTTAATTGGGCAACTACAGTATGCAGCAAATGAGGTTTAATGTTGATAAATGAAAGGTTATGCACTTGGGGCTAAACACAAGCATGTATCATACACTCTAGGAGGAGAACAGCTGGGGGAATCGGTAGTAGAGAAGGATCTGGGTGTTCTAGTAGATCACTAACCTAATAGTATGCAATGGCAAGCTGCAGTTTCTAAAACTATCAAAATCCTTTCTTGTATTAAACTGCTATTAAACCCAAAACCAAAAAATTAAACCAAAACCAAACAATTTTTCCTTTTGGGATAAAGGTTTTACATAAATATATAAAAGCTGGTCATTTTAAGCACTCTACCAGGTTTTGTTTTGGTTTAATACTGGTA